AAATTAAAAATTAGGACCACCCCTATCCCCTAGTCAATGATGAAAAAAATGGCGCGTTCTGGGTTTAGCGCCAGTTCATCGTTATGTTGATTTGGGGAGAGGGGTGGTTATATTTCTTACTTCATTCTGTCCAAAATTGTAACTGCAAACTACCCCAAGCTCAGAGAAGTCAACGTAACTATACACTGAACTATCAATCTGATTCTGGATAAATTTGTTGTCATGCAAATCAGTGATAACCGAGATAAGATTCTATTGTTTCTCTACAAAACATTAGACGCTCGGAAATCACTCAACTTTTATCGAAGGCACATTGGATACTCTGGCCTCCAGCCTCAGCCTTCAGTGGACGTTGTTTTTGGCAAGGCACATAGCTCTCACAGGTTCCTGAAAAAAAAAAAAAAGAATCTGATGCAGGATCGACACCTTCAGACCTTAACGAGCGTTGCTCTCGAACAACCTGACGAGAAAACAGCGCTAACACACCTGACAAAACGCTTGGGCGAGATGGGTTGGGATAAGAAAGGGGAAGGGGAGGGTATCTACAATGTACCATATAGACATCTCATCTGCAAGCGGGTTTCTAATTGTCATCAGGTTCAGGTACGTACACTCGTCTTACATAAAGGCAGCACGACTGTGAATGCGACTTTCACTTAGATACTTAATTGAATAGAAAAAGTAAATAACGAGTCCAGTGCGTAATACGAAGAATGCTCACAAAATGCGCCCTGTTTATCTTTCCGCACCAAATTTTCGTTTACTAAGTTAGAAAAGTTACAACTGAACCAGTCGATCCTCTACTAAAAGACACCTATATGACAGCCACCTCCCACTAGCCAGCCAGGAAATCCCTTCCCGTACACACGCCTCTCTTACATGCTACTGAAACCTTCCTTCAAGGGCCACATCTCTTCTACGGCCAAACTACTGTTCCGCCCTGCCAGCACAGGTCACCCAAGCGTAATATAAGAGTTTGTATGGAGATCAGGAGTCGTTCAATGTATGGTTAATTTACCGAATAAAGACTCTTGGATATTCAATGATGTCATTTTTTCTCATCCTGGAGAGTTGAAACGAGATTTCACCGAATTTTGATATATTTATTCTACTGTAGGATAATTATATCAAAATTCGCTCAAATCTCGTTTTAACTCTCCAGGATCAGAAAAAGTGACATCATTGAACGTTCAACTGTCTTTATTCGGTAAATTAACCATACATTGAACGACTCCTGATCTCCATAAAAACTCTTATATTACGCTTGGTTGACCTCTGCTGGCAGCAGTAAATAGTGCCCCAGCAGCTCTGCCCTGGTAAAAATGACCGGTCAGTTAATTCTGCCCTGGCAATGCGGCCGTAGTACAGAAGTTCAGCTGCACCTTCATGCTAAGAAGAAGTACATTGCACTAAACAAGTGTTGAAATAAGTTTAATCAAAAATTCACATCTTAAGCAAGAAAAAAAGACCTTATGTACTTAGCCTGTTCACACTGAATTAAAATTCTAGAACCATATGTCTTGTGGCTTACTGACTTAAAAGATCCCACCAGCCGACCATAAGTTGACAAGTATTTTCCAAAAAAATTACACTCTTAAATAATTCATATTTCATGTCACTTTTTGCACACTTTAAGCTCAATATGAAAATGTATGAATAAGTTAGAATTACACAGAGAGGACTTAAAAAGAAACTCGGTTGGCTTGAAAATGATAAGGCCTCCTAAAAACGAAAGGTTACTTTAATAATAATATACTAATACTACTCTTAGTATCTGTACCTTGGTTTGACTAAACGTGATAACTTAGTGTAACCAGGAGACATTTAACTGACTGGATACAACAGCAACGCTCAGCTTTACCACTGAAATGCTAAACTTGAGACATGTGTCAGGTAAAAGTAGCTATTTATTTTTTGTCTGCCAACAGAAAACCAAGCTGCTTTTGTAAGGGTAAATGACATAAGACAATATCATGGAAAATGATAAATGTAAATTAACCACTGGGTCTAATTTAAAGGAAACAAGCCCTTAACCAGAAAGGCCTGTTGATTTACCTTTAAAGATCATCTTCAGTCAATAAATAAGCCTCTACTTGTCTATTGGTGCAATAAACCTCTTCTTTAGAATACTTATTGTTTACTCAATTACACGCATTTTTTTGTTGTCGTTAAAATACTACATTACCAACAACATTGAACAACCCAGCCATGTGTATTTCTCACAAGATCATTATTAGCCATTTTCCAAGCTCTGAAAAATATTACCACCTTTACTAAAAAATTTCTACAAATGGGATCAGAATACTCTTAGAAAGATGAGAATCTTCTTTGGCAAAACTTCATCAAGGTACCTAGATTTCTCATTCTTGCCTAGAAAACATGTTGCGAAAATAGACTGTTTGCGATATATTGGTATATACAGCTAGTCAGCAAGACCTAAAGGATACAAACAATAGAAATTGAATGAGCAATTTTATTTATTTCTCTTGTTTGTGTCTCTAGGCTTTAAATATATCGATAGCAGTCTATTGTGACATCAGCTAAATGTACTTAAGAAATATCGTTACTCAGCAGCAGGGACGTGATGAAAACTACAAGATTTAGTTTTACTGGCAATGTTTTTAAACAGCACCCTATTGAAATAAGTTATTTGTCTTGTTCCCAAAAAACAAAGTTCATTCTTGATTACTTTCAGAGAATATAGCGATATGAAAACAATGCTGCGCGACAACGTCTATATTGTGGTGCTGACTCTCTTTCAATGAGGGCAAATTTTACTAAAACAAAGTGATCATGGCATCCCTGGATTGCCCAACTCCAACCCATTGCACTGCAAAGAAAAACAAAAAAATACCAAAATCGGAATTAGTTTACACTGTGAGAGTGCTCAATTTTTACAACACAGTCAACTCTCGCCTTGAGAACACTCCACTATTACAGACACCCACTATTACAAGCAGGAGCTACATCCCCAGCCACAAACTACAAAGAAATGTATGAAAACAACTCCTGCTATTTCAGACTCTCGCTATGACAGAATTGCAGATGCTTCAGGTGGTCCCAAATAAACATTTAAATTGTTCTTCCTTCGTCACAAAGGACAACTTACATGTATTGAATGACATCATTATTTTGCAGCCTTTGAATGTCTACTAGATTGTACACTATTTTGACCTATATTATATAATTATGAATCGAAGTAAATGTGTACTACAATTAAAAGAAACTAAAAATCTTAAGAGTATAAAGCCGTACACACTTTACAGACAAAAATTTGGTCATTTTCATCACACCCCGGTATTGCACACTCTTGCTATTACAGACACCAAATGCAGTTCCGAGGGTGTCCACTATAATGAGAGTTGACCGTACATCGTACCTTCGTGAGAAAATTTAAAATTTGATGTTTCAATGCTGTTCAACCTAATCTCACTGGTTTACTTGTGATGTGAGCTGGCATGTATTATCTATGCTACATGTTCAATGCGTTCAGGCATGCTACACTCCGTACACAGTATCAACTTGTACATCTAATCAGCAGTGGTAACTTCACCTGGTATTTGTGTTATTTCTTCAATCTTTCTAATGTAAGCCTGAGCATTGGCTGGCAGTTCATGGAACGTTTTACAATGCTCAATACTGGTCATCCAGCCAGGGAGGGTGATGTAATCAACTTCAACTTCATCCAAAATTTCCACAGAAGCTGCAATCAAGAACAATATGAAATCATAAACTTGCTCTTTCATTTCCGTGCTCAGTCAAAAGGGATTTCATTAATTAATTGGCACTTGGCAAATTGACCAGCTGTGAAGATAATTTTACCTGGCTGGTTTAACCATCTAAAGCAAAGTTTTTCTTAGAAAGAAGTTCAGTTCAAATAGTTTTGCCTAACTGTGAAAACCAGTTGCCCTTCTGCTGAAAAGGTTAATAAAACCCCTTAGTCACACATACATGTCTCATTCTGTTGATCTTGAATCTCATTAATGACTGGAAGTTAATATTCTTACCAGGAAATGATTCCAAAACTGTTCCTTTATGCCTGTATGCGACTCCAATTTTCACTTCTTCAAATGTGTCCAAAATATCAAGCTTGGCAATCACAAGACTGCCAAAAAATCAAAATTATACATTAAATTTTCAGTGTCAACATTACCCAATAATAGTGATCACTCATCATTATTATCAAGTGAACAATACAGTTCAGCTGCATCTCACTTAACCACCTTACAAGATCTTTTTTCAAGCTGGAAACGGGAGTGCCACAAGACAGAGACTAGGTTTGCAGCTGTTAAAAATCTACTATTTTACAAGGTAAATCTATTTACCTTGTAAAATTATTAATCATGTGAGAGTACTTGATCATCACAAGATCAAGCCAGCCACACCGTCGCTTTCTGCCTGTTGTCACTCCAAACTCCTTTCCGATCTGCTGCATCTTTTCTCCAAGCTCCTAAATAAATAAATAAATAAATAATGTTTAAAAATCAATTTCCTATTTTGACGCTCAACAAATGAAAAGCTGATTATGAAGAGGAACTTTATACAGCATTTAAAGGGATGGTTTCACAGCTTGATTCATGTACTTCCCTTTGTATTAGCCCAGTTTATTCAAGCACATTACTCTAGCACAATAGGTGTTCTTTTGTTACAATTTCATTTGTATGTTACTCAGGCTAAATAATAAATTTGAAGTAATCCATCCTCTGCTAATCTGTTTACATCTTCCTTTAAATTCTGGCATTATATTCATTCTACAATGTACCTGTATGCGATTCAGTAAGAAAGCAAGAGAGGTAATTTATGGCTACGCTGTGGCTTGCACATGTGCTGAACCATGAACTGACTGAATTGTTTAAGAAAACTATGAAATGGACTAAACTGGGTTAATTGGACAGGGATATTCACCCTTGTTACAACACACCTACGGCACATTAATACAGAAGGAATATCAATTCATGTGTGACCATCCTAGTGAAGCCACTTTTTGCTGAGCTCCGGCAGCCCAAAGGGCCACCAGGTGGAACACCATACTTGTAGGACCCCATGAATAGCTTTTCTCATGATCATCATGGCTAGTGGTATTGCTCATCGGTGCATGTGCATGACAACCACGATGATGTCATGCAAATGGCAGCCATAGTTAACAAGACATGCAGACTTGGTTTATCTTGGTACATCTTTGATATTGGACATCCACATTATGGTCAATTGACACCTTTCAAACAGAGGTATCTACTGACCAGCATTACATGGCCACATAGCTGGCTCAAGTTTAGAGCTCATCGAGGTCTTATGTCTTTTTGAAGTCGACCACTGCCCAGGTACTGGTTTTTGATTAGATTGCAGGCTCAAGCACAGTTAACTTACTGTTATCAGGAACTCCGCTTTTAGGCCTGGCTAAATCTATATATTGGAAATTCTAAGCTATCTTGAATAAGAAACAAGTAACTTACATTCGTAAGTTCTGTTGGAAATCCTCCAAGACCAACCCTTGTTGTGTAGGCCTTAGTCACCCCATGCACATTACCAATTGCTGTTGGTGGAATGCCAAGCCCAGTGCACACTGCGCCAACGGCACAGTTAGAGGATGTTACATAAGGATATGTACCTGCAAATAAAAACAATTTTCAGTCTAAATGACAGGTTTCTTTGAATGGATTGCAATATTACTTGCAATAACAATGTCTTTATTAGAATTATTGTCATTGCAACTCACCAAAGTCAATATCTAGCATCAATGCATTTGCTCCCTCCACTACTATGTTTGCCGACTCATTCTGGAGTGCTTTGTTCATGTAGCTTACTGTGTCGCAAACCATTGGACGAATCTTCTCTGCATAGTGCTACAAACAAACAAATGACAAAACTTAGACTTGAACAGAGGGATGACTGTTCACACCCACGTCACGCAAGAAGGAGATCAAGGGAACCTGAACTGAAATTAGGGGAAGACTCATAAAAGCCCAATTTTGTCTTTATTTAGTGGTGCCAGTGGTGGTAGTCCAAAACAAATCATCCCTAGGCCTCATACCTTGTACTTTACAAGTTCCTCTTCAATGTTTGTACTGAGACCTGGATACCTATGTAAATTGAAAAGTTATATCATAATCCACCACGTACTTCTCTAGATAGTTCCTTCAGACCCCTTCCCCCCACCTCCCTTGAGCTATATTTATTACGCAGCTCTGCCTCAAACAGTGAAACATCAACAAACACATGCTTAAGTGTTTTAAATGAATAATTCTTCTGAAATCTAGTTTAACATACTTAGGTTTACATACATGGTGTATATACACAGCTCAAACAAATATTTAGCATATTGCTTTCTGGATGCAAATCTTAATGAAAACGGCTGCTGCTAAGAAAGTTGTCCTTAATAAACACAATAACTCAGATCTATTTAAAAATGAGAATTTCTGTCCTTATTATCTACAATACTTACAGCCTCTGAAAGTGTGAAACCAGTCCTCGGAATCTAACAAAAGGAGTAACACATTTAATCACTTTTTTACAAAACATAACTATGCTTAAAAAGTCTCAGAGCTGCATCATAACATCAAGTTGTCTTCAACACTTCTACTAACCTTTTCTCAAACACTTCAAAGTCTCCTACCAAGTCACATATTCTAAGGCCTATCCTTTGTGCCTGCAAGACAGCAGTACAGCAAAATTGACTCTCAAAAAATTAAAAGAAGCGTGCAAAGAAAGTTCAATGTCCAATAGTCCAGGGGTGAGTGGATTTTACAGACGCACGATTCCGTCCTTTTACATTTAAATTAAATCAATAAACATAAATAATCATGCTAGTGGGGGCTAGTGGGGAGGGGGGGGGGGGTGGAGGAGGAGGGGGGTCTAGTGATAATGATTGACTAGTACATCACTGTTACAGCTTGCCCAAGGGGTAGGCTTGAAAATAACATTTGCACCCTACTCGATAGTTGTTTAGTATTTCTAATATCAATACATTATACATATATATTAAACAAAAGGGTTAGGGTTAGGGTTAGAAATAAGCAATTAAAAGAAAACAGACCATTTCCCAGAATAAATTAACTAATGTATACAATACCTTGGAAGCATAGGTAGGACCAATTCCCTTCTTTGTGGTCCCCAACCTTAAAAACATGCAAAGAAAAAAAAAATAATAATAACTTTTGACTTACTTACTGACTGTCTGACCAACTATCTGAATGTCTGTCTGTCTGTCTGTCTGCCTGTCTGACTGACTCTGACTGACCAATTGTCTGTCTGACTGACTGACTGTTTGTCTAACTGACTGACTGACCGTCCAACTGACTGGCTAATATGTACAGTGGATCCACTTTTAGCATTCAATGCTTCAAGTTGTTGAATTTGTTGTTAGTAATAGTTCACTGATTGCATTGACAGGAAAAATGTCAGACATTCTTAGACAGACAGGAAGTGTCGGGTAAATGCACGTCATATCACATTATGAAATCGTAGGTTGTAGTTAAAGCAAGACTGATCACTCTTGACTAATAATCTTCCAGGAAATCATTGATAAAAATATGGTAAGCAGTCACCAGGAAACAGTGATTTTTCCAGTTGATTTGTGGATTTCCTTCATGAGGGAAAACCTGCCTTTTTCCACACAAAATGAAGCCATTCCCACCTAGCAGTGTTTGTAACGTTTACCTTGCAGTTTAATCAATCAACTGTTACCACAAATTAAACCACTGAACTATCAACTTGAGTCCACTGTGAAAAAAAAAAAAAATTTTACAGTAAAGGGCTGTCATTAAGTTTTGAGTCACCGGTAGCCTTGTTCTCCATACCTGTAGCAAACTTGTTACTTTACGGGTGAATTCTGACTACCAATTAACAACAGGCAATTTTTCGCATCAAGGGAAACTTAAGCAGACTCAGTTGTGACAGGTGTTACAGACAACCGCCCTTAATGACAGCCCTGCAGTATTACCATCAACTCACCCTCCTTTTCCACCCTCTCGTAATTTGTCAGATTCTTGGTGTAAATCAAATACTGAAAGGATAGAATCCATGAACTGCATTAGTTAGATAGTGCCACTGTAAGTCAAAATGTTTTTATTTCATACAAATCCATATCTCACCTATGTGAGCTCTATCAGAGACTAGAAGTCTTTTCTGCCAATCTGTGACCCCTGCAAACAAGTACATTCATTATGTTTCCAGTTTTAAAATATGGCATCAACGTACATTTATTTAGCATCATATTTAATGGTAGTGGTGTGCCAAACATTGATTATTACCGTTCATAATTTGATCTAAAAACCTTAAGCAATGGGATGTTTTTAATCTATTATGGAAAATGCTCAATTGATTATCACAGAAAAATAAAAATAAAACAAAAAAGAATATTAAAAATAGTTTGTGTGTTGTCTTTTTAATGGACTCATATTGCATCTATAATCCACTGATGACATTTTTCTGATATATTTTGTATATTATTTAATATTCTTTAGTCATGTTCTAAAACACAGCACAAAGTTCTGTGCTCAGAAAGGAAAGCAAACACTAGAATTGATAATTCTCATTTTCAAACCATAACTTTAACAAACATGGACTGAAGTCAAACATATTTTAATTAGAATTTATTTTATACATGTAACTTATTAAACATACTTGCTCTACGACATAGCCAAATCAAAATGAATGATTGCTTTGCAACAGACATTGTGGTGTTAATTTAAATGGAAAAAAAACACTGAAACCTACTTGCAATCATTGTTTAGAACATGATTGTTTTTTAATTAATATTTCAGGTTCTTTCATTTTCATTAAATATGGAACAAGCAGAGAGGAAAGTTTGAAGGCATAATCACCTTTAGCTTCAAGTGCCTCTAACTCCTCAAAGAACTGCGGAATATGAATCACTACACCATTTCCTGTTGAATTTAAGATGAAATAACGGTATAAAAGGTGCCGCTAAAGATAACAAATAAGAGATTGTTCTACACTGCAGTATAATCTCAACAAATTCTTCATAATGAATCTACGCAGTGATTGTGTATAAACACTTACCAATAATGCTAACAGCCTTCGGTTGTATCAGTCCACTAAAACCAAAAGAACAAAGAGAAACATTGGGATGATGTTTCATTAGGGCTGAAAACTATTAAGAAATTAAAATCTTTTAAAAATCGGAATGATCGATATCATTTCAATCCCTTCAAAATAACAATATGAATCTGTATGTATAGATGCTGGATGAAAAGGATTTCCTGATCAAACATAGACATCAGGACAAACATTTTGTGGTCTATTGATTATTCATTGATTATTCATTGATCAATCAATTATTGAATTATAACTTATCAATTACCAATTGATTACCCACTGATTACTCATTGATTGCAATTATATAATTATGCTGCACATCTATCACAATTTTCCAGCATTGCTTTATATTTTTAACTCATCATAACTGACTTTTTCTGTTATAGCACACTTCAGAAATAATCAAGTCTGATGCTTCAGATGCTCCTCGCACTGCACCCAAATTAATAAACTGAAATCCTGAAAGACGCCATGTGTTTCTTGAACAAATTGTTTTCATTTCTTATTTTAGATTCGGTTTGGTTTGTGTAGTCACAAGATTTTATTGATTACTAATCATTCTGATTTCTTTAGTTTTATTCCCCTGAGGAATGTGCCCCACCCCCCCACCACCACTGCCCCCCACAAACCATAGGACATGTGACAGTCTTGCCTCACAATAAAAATTCATTCCTGTATTGGCTAATTATCTTGGACCTGAGAGGGAAAAGAATCATTTGATAGATTTGTGAGATATCAAAACAATCTACTGTTACTTCTTACCTTGGAACCATGTGAAAGAAATATTTCTCTGAGTCAACAACCACTGTGTGACCAGCATTGTTCCCACCCTATATAACAATAAGAACAAATGGAACAATATCTTAGTGGCAGAAAAAGCTGTTAGCAGTTGTCTTACAACAAAAACATTTTTTGTTTTTTTCAGTAGAGAAAATAACATGAATATTGTGTAAATAATAAATCACTTTTTTTTAATGTATGACCAAATTTAATGTTAAATTATAAATAATGAAGGGAGCAATTGATTTGAATTTGCATCCCTCTACAGGCTGGCTTTTAGCCAGAATTTGTGAAGTGACCATCCAAATTGTGTTTTAG